GTTTGCTTTGCAAACTGTTTGAATAAAGTTAAGGCATGGCTACTAAATTTAAAACAGTACTCTATAAATAATCTAATAAAAATTAATCAACACAAAGCTTTGTTAAAATAGTACTAATATGATATAAAGATTATTAGCATAGGAATTGGGTTTGTGCTAAGAAATTTATTAGGTTTTTTGGCTTTGAGTTCGATTAGTTTCTCCTGTGCACCTCGGTAATAGGGATTTTTTTTGGCTGGTAAGTTGAAATGGCCAATTGAAATAGAAACACGCATCGATGACGGTACGATATCAGCCAATTAAATGACAATCTATATTGATGTAGCAACTATATCGTATACGCAACTCTTAGGTTTGTTAGTACCCTTAAAGTTTTACAAGTGCTTATATTTTTAATTTGTTCAATGGAGCGATCACCAGATGAAAGTGGAGGAAGCCGCCGAAATGATAGTAAAGCATAACTAGATTACTTTTTTATTCGTGCTTATTCATAAATATTTGTAGTTATTTACTTTCTCAAATTTACTTTCAAAACAATTACACGTCAATAAAAAGGCAGTGGTAAGAAAAGATACAGAGGTATGACTCGTAGAGCTATGTTTTGATCTAGTTTTAAAATTTCATTCTATATACACGTCAAAAAGATTTGTATGTTGCAGAAATTATATTATAATTACAAAAATTTTTTTTTTTTTATAGACGACGAACGTCGAGGAAATGGTGGACGCGATCGAAAACAAAGAGAACGCGGTAGAAGTTATAGTGAATCTCAAGACCAAGCTATAGTTGACAGTCCCGAGAAAAACTTGACAACTCTTTTGATCATTTTGGGCGATAAGGTATACCATCAACAATTTTGTAATTGCAATGAACAAGTATTTGCTGATTTATAATTGAGAATAATGTAATTGCTAGATGACTCCCCAAGAAATACACAAGAACATTGAAAAAATTGCAGAAATTGTTCAAGCTGAGTACTCTAAATACGAGCCTCTTGTATTAAATACAATAAAAAATTGGTTTGGATATTCTTATATACATTTGATTATCTAATGTTACTTCATAAATTATTCACATATTTAATTAATTATTCTAGCTTTATGGAATTGCCAATGAAGACATTTATATACGGTACCCTCGTTGGTCTTGTGAATGTCAAACGACCTGATATTGGTTCTGCAATAGTAAAAATGACAGCACAAACGTTACAGCAATGTTTGAATGAAGGAAACTGGCGCAAAGCAAAGTTTGCTGTGAGAGGAATTTCACATTTGATACAAATTATTTTAATTATTTATCTGTACTTATTGTATATATTTTTTTTGTAGTTAAAATTCTTTGCTGAGTTGACAAACGCTAACGTAATATTACCAAGAACCATGTTAGATATATATGATGATCTTTTAACTACTCTTGATGAACCAAATGTTAAATTGGTATGTGTTTATTATAGTTTAACATTTGAATAACTGTTATTTAACATTATATTGCTTTTATATAGTATCGCGCCGATACAATAGTATACATTGTATTATCAACATTGCCTTTTGTAAGTTTGATTGTTCTATGTAAATACATTGATAACCATTTTATTAACTTTTAATTTCATATGTAGGTAGCATCACAGCTTAGCGAAAGAAGCCCAGAGATGTTTGACAGCATATTATCGAAAATTGAACGATATTTTGAAAATAGAGAGCGAGTTATTACGGAAATTGGTGGTTCTGTTGTTCTTCACTCTGTCATGCCGTACATAGGATCAAATTTGCCATATGATCAAGTTGATGTTAGTATTTCTTTTATTAATTATGTAAATAATTTTCAGAGTGTTCTTAAAAATCAGGATTAATCAAGAAAACATATCCAATAATACATATTTTTCGTATAATTGGTTATGAAAAAAAAGCAGCAGTTATTAAAATGGACTTGGATTATTGATTTCAAGTTTACGTGCTTGCAATAATTTAGTAACGTTTATTTTTTTATATCATATTCACCTGATTATTATATGAAGACTCTGGATATATTGTGGTCTCAGATTCAAAATCTAAGGCGTAACGGCTGGGAGGTGAGTTTTCATTATTTCTAATTATTTCTAACATTCTATTTATTAAGTAATTTGTTATTATTGTATTTATACATGCATATTTACATTTGCTAGTGCAAAATTCTTTTGAAACCATGGTCAGATTACGATAGTGTCTTAGTAACATCAGATCAGGTGAGGTCTTTATGAATAGTTTGAATATATTTGACTGTCCATTGGTCAAAATTATAACTGATTTAAATTAATAGCATGAGGTAGATAAATTCATAGTTACAGAACATTCATACAAACTGTGCAATTCGTTACCAGTTCCTTTGTTTCGGATTTTTGTCGGTCTGGAAGATGAGGTTTGCGAAATATAGTTTTTTTTTTTTTTTCTATACTTTAAAATGAATTATTTCTACTTACTTTTGCCATTTATTCGAATACAACAACCTCAGACGATAATTGACTCCCATAAAACGACGGATATTTCATATTTTCTTATTCGTGACATTATTGATGATATTATTGAAATATATGAGATAAATCGTAAAGAATGTACAAAGTATCTAAAGGATCTTGCGTATAATTTTGCATCTGGTACATTTGTCGAAAAAGACACTACCACGTCTATACCAAAACCTATTGTTAAAGTAAAAGATGAACCCGACATAAAAATTGAACCAGATATAGACACGTCTCCCGATAAGTGGGAAATTAATAATTCCGACGAGGCTAATGCAAGCTCAAGTTCGAATCAAGGTATCATAGGTTTTAAACTTGAACAGATCATAGTTGAGGTAAATAATTATAATTAAATTATTCATTACAATTACAGTATTGTCATATTTTGTTGGAATTAATATCCATTAAAATTCTTATAAATAATTAACATAGGAAATATTTAGTCACATTTTTTGCCTGCCACAACCTAGATTTAAGCCCATATTTTATCATTCGCTTTTGACCGAAATATGCAAGAGTATGCATGAATCATTTCCACCTATCATATCCTTTGTATATTTATTGGTGCTTTTATGTTATGTATTTATTAATATTTGAGTTAAGGCCACATATTAATTCCTTAAGTTTCGTGGGTGGCTCTCTCTTTACCTCGGTAAAGCCATAGGAATTTTATTTGATCGTCTTGGTGTTATGGATGTTGAATGTTGCTATCGATTTTGGAATTGGTTCGCTCATCATCTCAGTAACTTTGGATTTGTATGGAATTGGAAAGATTGGTAAGAACTCTATATTCTTGGCAGGTTATATTTCCTATTGAACATACATAAGACAATCTTTACGAATTACAGGGAGGCAACTTTACAATTGGATCCACTGCATCCAAAAGTATGTTTTATACGAGAGACTTTAGAAAAGACAATACGTTATAGTTATTACGATCGGATTAGATCCACAATACCGGAAGAATTTTTTACTTTATTTCCGACAGCTGAACCATCTACAAATTTTCGATACGAAGATCCCGGTATGCTTTATATTTACTCTTATTTACGAAAATATCTTTTTCATTTTTCCATGTAAATTTCTGTTTCTTTTAGATCACCGTCTACACGACTTTGCTACAAATTTAATAAGTAAGCTACGAAGCAAAAACCCTAATAGTGATATACAAGCGCATTTGGATGAGGTAGGCAAGAGTTTTCCTGACCTGCCTGCTAAAGAAAAAGAACAAACAATTCGTGATTTGTTTGTACAATGTGTGCTGATGCTAGGCAGTAAGAGTTTTAGTCACGTATTGAATGTAATCGAGAGGTAACTAAATATGCTATTACGTATTATTGATACATATTATTATGTCAAAACCAGATATTTAAATTACTAAATGCAATGATTTATTTTTTATTTTTTATTACTCAATTGCAGGTATTTACAGATTTTGCAATCTTTGAACGAGTCGTATGATGCAAGGTTACACACTGTAAAAATTGTTGCAGAATTTTGGGTGAACAATACACAAGTAAATAGTTATTATATTGACGTTCAGTTATATTATTTATTAAAAATTCACTAAAAATATTATTATTGTATGCATAGTTCTTGGGTATATTACTAGATAAATTACTAAATTATCGTGTAATTGATGCTATTGCTGTAATATCATGGCTATTTGCAGATGAGATGGAAAAAGACATTGCAAGGTAAGCTTACGTTGTGCTCTAATTATTATTGTTATTATTATCAAATTTAGTTAATAATTTACAAATCTTATGTTTTTGATGATTGAAGGTCTTATATGTGGGAAATCATGAAAAACACTATTAACAAGGTTATATCTCGTGTAAAGCAAGTCACAAGTAAAAGAGAAACGGTATTAAATCCACAAACTGAAGTTGCCGGTCAAGGGATAGACATCACATCTGAAGGTAATTATTGTTCATTTAGACTATTGCGATGTTTTATCACTGTTAAAATTTACATATAATTTGTTCCTAAGAGGATAAAAAGATCAATGTTCAGGAGTTGCACACGATTGAAAATACACTGAATACGGTTACCAGAGAACAAAATGAAGTTTTATTAAAGATGGTTCAAATGTTTGTTACCTTACTCGATAATAAGTTGAAAATCTATCAAAAGCAGGGAATTACAGACCCTATGTCACAATTATGGTTCTGGTGGGCTTATGGTTTTTTCAAAGAGATTGGAAGGACGGTAAAGTGTTAATAGAATGTTGTCATTATGATACTTAATATTTTATGCATTGGGTTTAATTTTTTAATTTTTTAAATTATTTATAGTATCAACCGCAAATATCTACGTTTATTGTGACAGTAGAGACTATAGTTATTACTCCGGAAACAGATCCATATATTTTGAAAGTTATTGAGATGATTAAAGCGTTTGAACATATGAAAAATGCAACAATCGAAAACGACTAGAGTTCTGAGGCCGGATGTAAAATTGCCATCGGGGTCACTTGGGTGAATTTGAAATCGTTCGCATATAACTATTATAAAAACCTTAGGATCACCTATAAAAAAATATATTAGATGTCACTTAAAAATATAATTTAGATGTTTTATATATAAATTACATCGTTTGCATTATTAACAATAAAAATGTAATAATTATTGTCCGAAGGATTATGCTGTTAAAGAATATGTCTTTTAGCAAATTCATGACTTTGATTATTTATAACGATAATTCTGATCGCTGGAAATTACATTTATCTGTTACTGTATCCCATAAACCGTTTAAATTTGCCCCAAAAACTACTGTATATCGATCGACAAATTTGTCCTTAATTTATCATTATGGGCAAGTGTATAGTTGAAGAAATTTTACGACAGGGTGAAACCCACGAAAGTGGTTACGTTATTGATGCAGATCACTATCTAAAAATTAACCTATTACTAGTGATGGGACTAACCGGTTAGTCCCATCACTACCTATTACTAACCCTAACTAAGTAAGATCTGCATCGAAACGTAAACTACCTCCGTCGCGGGTTTCACCCTTTCATGAAATTTTTATGATATTTTGCTATATGGGTTCATTCACAGCAAAACCATGCTTAGAGTATATATTTTATATATACTCTAAGCATGGTTTTGCTGTGAAT